TCTGCCACCATCTTGTTGATTGCTCAGCTGAACCAGGTCAGTCTGAAGGTACTCATGAATCACACAGTCCATTTGTCTGGCTTGACAAAGAACTGTCTCCCATCTGTAATCTGTGCTGCTTCCTCTTTCAGATCACTGACTTTTAATGTATCAAAGAGCTTTAAATGGAGGCAGTCCTGTATTAGCATCCTCCCTTGTTGAAAAGTGGCTTTATTACCTAGTTTCTAGGCTACAAAAAAACTCCTCGGCCTCCAAAGCCAACTGATTTCCTCAATAGTTTGTCATGAAGGCTATCTTACCTTTCTTTGTTTTTTTTATTTCAACAGATAACAGCAATTCAGCCATATAAACTGGTTGCATCCTGGAATTTGTTGATCAGAGAAAAGTATTTCCCTTTGGTAACACCCAGATAGCTGGTCTCAGTCCCAACTCTACCAGTTCTTTCTGCTTAGCATTTAAACTGATATTCTTAGTAAAGAAGTAAAGCTTTTTTATTCTCCAACAGGTCAGGAGACCTCAACAAGAAACTGTATTGTGCCATTTGACTGTAATTCAATCAGCACATTTAACTAAAACCCATCCAATCCTTCAGAAGCACTATAATTTAAATAGCCACATTGTTCTAGATCAAAGGCTGTTATTTTAAAGGCATCAGAAAAAAAGGGGTCAGGCAGTGACCAAAGCAAGCATGTACTGAAACATGTTCCTATTCTAACATTGCCTATTTTAATGAAGATCTGTATTCACAGGTATGTGGAAGGAAAGCAGGAAGTCAAGCATCTGACAGAAACCATTTGTATTTCAAGGACCTGAGATGGCACAGAAAAAAGTCATCCAGGGCTCAATTCATGAGTCTCCTACCTGTATTTAGGCAGGGGACGGAGACCACAAAACCAGCTTTCTGGTAACAATGTAGACACAACCTACGCAGGGAGCTTCCTCCACTTCAGACACTCTTCACATTGTACCCACGTCTGGTCTGGACTGTCTCTGCAAATACCAGTGCTCAGTCTGAGTATTTCAAATGTGGAGTAAACACCAGGAAAGGCTGTTCAGAATGAGTGCTGCCACCTGACCCCAAAGCAATGCCAGCCCATTTGGCACAGGACATGGGATAGTCCAGGGCTGCCAACGTGCCCCTGCTCTCCCAGGGACACCATGCCCATTGTGGCATCCCTCCCAATAACCACCAGGCCAAACTCCACAGGTTCAAATCTCAGTTCTCTATAGGAAGGAGTCCAGTCACCCCTTGGCAGCCTCTGCTCCTCCTGGTCGCACACTCCCACCCCACCTGGGCCAAGAGAAACCCCCAGGCCTTTAACACTGGCAAAGATCAGAGCAGTGGCAAACTGGTTCCTATGCTATCATGCAAGCTGTGTCTGCATTTCCCAAGTTCATCTATGCCATCTTTGCTTTCCAATAGCTGTTGAGTTCCTGTCCCAGCACAGCAATCATCCATCTGGAAGGAAGAACTCCATAAGAAGCTGGGCAACTCCCACTGGCACAACAGGCAGCACAAGGAACAACCACGGCAAACACAAACCCCTTGCCCAGGAACTTGACTTAGACTTGTGATTGCAGGCTTTAGGTTAGCACCTTAGCAGCCCTTCTTTATCATACAACCCACAGCTGAAAAAAATGGTCCAATATCATCATAAAAAGATTCAGGCTATAGGTCCCTTTCCCCAAGAACAGCTTTTCCCAAAGTGTGGAGTGCTGCACCCCCAGCAGAGCAGGAGGAAGAACGTTGCCTCCTTCTGCTGCACCCCTTAACTGGAGGTTCCACATGAGCATCCGACTTTTTCTTTTGGCTTTATAAGTGTGTTCCCGGTTTGGGCAGTTCTGCTAAAGTGTGCACAAACACAGGCTCCATTTTATTTGGGAGGAGTCTCCTCAGGGCTGGAGTCTTGTGAGGGAATGAGCTGGAGGAACACAGAGACTATATATTTGCACTAGACTTTCAGGATAAAATTCTCCATGCTCTCTAAGGGCACTAAAGAAGAAAAAAAATGGGCCAATCTGGGGCTATTTCACAATAAACAGACCTAAGAACATGTGCAGTGCTTAGAACAAAGGCTGTATCAGAGTAAAACCCTCTCCAAGGAGCAGCCTTGGGCCCAGGTCTCTCTTACAGGTACTCTGCCTTCTTCAAAGTCCTCTTCGTTGTGTGCTCAATTCAGGAAGTTGCATTCAATTACTCCAGTCACACCTACACCTCCTCCCTGCACCAGGGGCCACAAATGAAGGTAAAGAGCTGCTTTAGCCAATTCTGCTCAGAACAACAACAAAAAAAGAGTCCTTCAGGGAGTGCTGACACTCCAAACCCCTGATACAAAGGTTGATGGCAACACCATGGCCTGTGCATTGCATGCCAACAGCACGTATGACGTACAAACAGCTGGCACACCCCCCTGCAAAAGTATTTTGGGCATATAATACTGAAAGCTTTTTCATCCAGAAAGTAGAGCATAGGTTGGCTTAACTAACAGACCAGAATCATCTGTGGCAAAGATGGTCAACTCCAAGGCATGCCATAGCTCTGAGAGACTGCTGCAGTGTAACAACTAGAAGCAAATGCTTCAGTGGCCACTTCCTAACAGAGTCCAGGCTATCCTGCCGGAGCAGAACACCTTCTGGAAATCACCCTGGAGGAGAGGCAGGCTCCCTGTCCTCTGGTAGCACCTCCAGACACAGCAGTATTAAACAGTAGCTGGACATCTCTAGCATCCATCATCCAGATGCACACACTGATCTGATCCTAGGGACACACCAGGTCTCCTTGTTCAACTCTAGACACTGCGCAATGTAGAAGTGAGGATCTAAGACAAGGCTGCTTTTTGCAAAGCCCCATTCTCTCCTCTCCCAAATAAAAAGAGGTAAAAGACAAGTCCAACTACTCGCCTTCTTTTGACAGCCCACCTTCTCATAGGATCTAATGAGCCAGTTGTTGGTACATCAAGATCCCATTTGTTCTTGCAGGTGAATCCAAAGGTGATCTTCACCCTTGTGCTCTGAGGGAAAATGTGTCAAGGACAAAATAAACAACAAGCTCCAGAGGAGGAGCAGGGGAGATGCACAAGTTCCACAGGAAGGAGTGAAACACTCTGGAGAGGCTGCAGCATCAATCAGCCCATGCTGTGTTCCTCAGCACAACACCCTCCCTCTTCAGCAGGGAAAAAGTGCTCAGCCTTCACCTGGTAACAACAACCCTGTGCACGCAGCCAACAATCACAGATAAGAACACACACAACTGACTGGAGGAGAGTTGGATATAGCTGTACTGAGTGGAGTCAGTCTGTCACTGCCAAGTCAAAATATGCCATGGTTATAGCTTTAGTAAAAACTCTGATATGCATTTATATTACCCTGATAATAGCACATGCAAAATCTGGCCAAAGAAAACTGCCTTTGAGTATATCACAAATGAGATAACTAATGACTAATAATTTTACTTGGGATTAAAAGATAAATGACCAGTGTTCACAAAACCAAATCAAGCACATCCAGTCAGGGCTGAAGAAATCTTAACAAGGACACTAAGGTCCATCAAAGAAGAGCGAGCTCCCCTTCAGCAGACTCCATTTGCACAAATTTGGGTTTCTAGGCAGACCACTATTAGAAGGGAAGCTGTGGGTTTATGATTAAAATACTTCATTAACCACTTTTTGTCAAAATATATTTTAATTTCCTTACTTCTTAGAGTCAGAGCTCATGCATTTGCAATGTATGTAGTCATCACGTGCTTTCCAACACAATGATACTTTATCTATACACAACAGGTGCTAAACTCCAAATCTCACGGACCTGTTATTTTATGCACATCGGCTCTGCAAGGCCAAGGCACCTTTGAAAGTAAGTGGAAAACCACTACTGCTTGGGCAGTACCACTACAGGTTTCTAACCCGCTGCATTTCTGCAAATCATTTCAAGACACAGTGGCTGTGCAATCTCTGGCGAGAGCATTAGCACGCAGATGTGAACTACCATGAAGTTACAAAAGCAGGAAAGCAGCTTTTTTGGTTCTCCAATTCCTGACTAAGTACATAAGTACAGAATTTAAGTAATGCCTTTTCATCTTGGGTCAATCTTTTTGTATTAACATAAGCACTGAAATTCATAACATAAAATGACCTTTAAAGCATATAGGAAGAGGGGGGATAAAAGATGGTCAGGTGTAGTTCAAAACAGTTTAAGCAAAGTTCTTTCTGGAAGAAATTTGAAGGGTAGATTGTTCTTTGCACTTGATTTTACTTGGGGATACTGGTTTCTGTTCTGTAGACACTGGTCTCTAAAAGCACGTGTCAGCAGGTAAGCCAAAAGAGTCATCTTACTCCCCAAGAACTGAGGTGGCCTAGGAGCAGGCGTTGGGAATGAGAACCAACGTGCTCCAAGAACTCAAATGACCAACTTCTAGTCAGCCAGGAACAGTCAGCAACCAGCTGCTGATGAACAGGACAGAGGGGAAGAAAGGCTTTTCTGGTCTTATTACACATTTTGACAAAGTGTTTTTTCCACTGAAATGAATAATGCTCATTTAAAATACATTTCAGCAGGCATTTTCCCAAGCAAACTGACCAGTCAGCAAAAGCCTCAAGCCCTTCTCCACTTCACTCTTCCCTGACACAGCACATCAGCCTTGAGGTATGGCAGGAACTGGCTCACGTACAAGGTGAGCCGTAAGCCCTATCGCCTACTGCTCCAGCAGACACAGCTCTGAGGGCTCCCTTCTAAGCTTCACGCCAGGATTTGGCTTCTCAAAGGTGACCAGAAGGTAGGAACGTAGGAATGAGAAGATAATTCAGCCTCTCTATTCATTTAAATCCTGGGTTTCTCTATGCATCAGACCAGATGGGCCTGAGCCCAGCTGTGAGGTTGCTCTGGAACCCTCCAGTGTGCTGAGGCTGCTGTGGGAACAGAGTGCCAAGAAGTAACAGGAAGAATACCATGAATCTTGGCTTGTAAAAGTTATATTCAGTGTTGGCCAGGCTCTTGGTGATCCGCTAAGCGTTCACCTTCTTCTGTTGCAGGATGATCTGCATGCAAGGCTTCAGGTACAAGACACTGCAGTATGCCTGGGAGAGGGGACAGCACAATACAACAGTCAGGAGAGTTCTACTTGCATGTAGTCTTTTCCAGGCGAACCCAAAATCTCGTTTGGATTCAATGTCTTTAATCCCCTGTCAGTCATGCACAGAACAAAGCTGGGGAAGGGCCATCCTGCTCCCTTTCAGCTCTCATCAACTTACCCGTAATGAGTACCCCATTTGCCATCCAGGAAACTCTGGAATCATCTTCTGAGAGTGCAGAACCTTTCTTCTGGGAATCTCTCTGTTGTCTGCAACGAAGTCTGCTATCTGAATATCATGCTTGTCTGCACCAAAATCCAGATCCTGCTTCCCGTCTTTATTTCTGAAAAACACCAAACACAAAAATAAAGACAGTCTCCTCCAATCATCAGCACCCCAGTCTGCTCTTCTGTATCAGGATCTCAAGGGAACTCCTGAGGAGCAGATAAAATGGCGTATTTCACACGCTCCATGGATGTCATTATCAGTCATTTAATTATAGGTATTTCTGTGCAGAACACCAAAGTAGCAGAACACATCAGAATACTCTTGATAACACAGAAACATGGAAGTTCCATTGCACAGATGAGAAAAATGAGAAATGTTATTGTTTTCTTCTGTAAAAAAGAGTGGCAGATAGAACTAGACCCATCTCTCCTAACTCCCGGTGTGGCAGCCCAAACACTCAGTCATGCAGAGGGAGGAGGGAGAAATCCCTGCATTTGTTCCTCCAGTGGCCAGGCTGGATGACAGTGGGCTTAGACCAACCAGGCCAGGCATTATCCTGAAGCTGTCTCTGCTTTTAGCTCTTCCCCATCCTCGGGGCACTGCTGCCTCACCACACACCCCAGCCCCATAACTGCAAATGTTCCAGATGAGGACGCACGTGCCCTTGTTGCGTGGAACGGCATTGAACTGTGCCAGCAGCTCCTCCCTGGTGTTAAAGAGGGTACGCTCCAGAACTGCCTCCAGGCTAGGCACAGAGTCTTCAGGAACAATCATTTTCTTTAGAAGCCACAGAGTCAAGGAGAACACGGCTGCCCAGTCCATCTACCTCCCTGTTGCCACAGGGGCACAAAAATATCCAGCTGCAAAGACCTGGCCACAGGCCTGACACACCAGAGAAGTGTGACACAGGAGAGACTGACTACAGGAGGAAGGTCTCAGAGAAAGACTGAGCCAGGACAGACATGACAGTAGCATGCTTTGAAGAAAAACACTGAAAAGTATCAAGCTGAGTCGGGGGCAGCAATGTCATGCCAGCAGATAATGTACACAGTGCTGGGGAGCTGTATATTCTCAACTCCCTTTGGCGTGAAGGAAACACAGCCTGTACATATGCCAGCATGCCGAGGAAGCACCAAAGGCCATTACAGGGGCAGAAAAACAGCAGAGAGCATAGCTCCTGGGCAGGGGATGCATACATGGGTCTGCACGGCAGAGGGAAAGGGACAGAAACAGGTAACCCGTAGGTTGGTGGCATGACTGCAAGGGCTTTCCAGGAGCCAGGTTAGCAGCAGATGCCCCCAAGCAGACGCACAAGTTCTAGCCCAAGGAATAGGGAATAATGCTGCAGGGCAGTGTGTTAACAGCAAGGCCTGCTGCAGGGATTCTCCAGGTGCAGTACTGATTACAGTTATTCTCACCCCCTCCAACATTACGCTGTGCACATGTGGCCAAGGGACAGCCACAGGCAGCCTGTGCCCTCAGCATCAAGGCAGTGCCACTGGCCCCCCACATCCTTTTGGAGGAGGGTAGCAGCTTGGCCACTTGGCCAAGGGAAGATAGTGTTTCGCTGGCTGAACGACACCAGTGGGATAATCACTGTCTCAGTACAGACACGGTCCTTGTCAGTCTGGGGAAGCAGCCCCATGCTGAGAGCCCCTCCAGTCTTGATGAAGATGATGGCATCCTTCCCCAGCCACATGGAGCCAGACTTGAAGCCATACAATCCAGTGGATGGGTGGTCTCTTTTCACAGTCTTCTCCATGAAACCAAAGCTGAAAGCAAGCAAAGCAGAAAGCAGCTGAAAATGGGGAGCACCTGCCTCACTCCAGGCACAAGTCCACATTACCACTCTTAATTTTTGTAAAGGGACCTTAGCTCCTGTTCAACCAGGAAGACTGAGGATGGCTGCAGTGCTGATAAAAAAGCCAAATCCTGCCAGGCCTATACTGCCTCCACCACTGAAAGACCGCATAAATGGTCAGGAAGAGTTACTCACAAGGAAGATTTCTTTAGCACCTAGGGAAGGACTCCAAATCCTAATTTACCCTAAGCACCTCCACAACATTTTCTACATTACAGACACAGAAATCAAGAAGCAGAGGAGCAAGACAATCAGTTTCCAGCACTGCACACCCAGGCCAACAGCTGGCCAGGGAAATCTCATGTGTCCGTTCTTCATGATTCTGCACCAAGCCCTACCTGTTACTATCCCCTCCGGAACGGTTTGTACCAGCAACGGGATGGCCCTCCTCCACTACACACAATGACAGGGCAGGAATGGGACAGGGCCTCTGTTTTTTATTTCCTGAACCTCACTCACTTTTCTGAAGTGCTGTGGTTATATGTCTTCTGCATTTAAAGAAACAATTTTCTCTGCTTTGCTCCCCTGCATTTTGCTTATGTCAAACAGAATGGTCAGAGAGAAACAAAACCAAGCCCCAGCCCCTTCACCCCTGTGGATAAGCTACAGCAAAAGAGAAAGGGCAGGAGTTTCGCATCAAAAGGCTCATTCCTCCAGCCTTAAAAACCTCTAGTCCAAGAGAAAACCACAGGAACATCAAGAAGGCAGAGCTGCTTTGGCAAAAAAAACTTATCCTGGCAAAGGCCCTTCTGTGTTTAGGCTCAGCATGCCCTGGTAAAGTTATCCTCTCTGTAAGTCTCGCATCACTGATTGTTCAAGTAAAACCTTAAAACCTATTTTCACTGAAGTTAGTTACCTAATTAAAAGACAAGCCCTACTGAACTGAAATTCCTTATCACAATATCACGCTTTAAATCTCTTGCCATTAGCCTGCCTCTTTCTCTTTCATCGCTATAGAAAAATACTTCACATAGAAAGATTAACGTGATATAAACATGTCCTCTAAAGCCATGATTCATTTCAGCATCCACAGAGGAAGACAGACGAGAAGGGAAACTCCTTCATAACATGAGTCTACAGAAAAGGACTCTTGGTTTGACTTCAGGCACGTATGTTCAGTTTTATGCAGACCTTCTCTACGTCCCAGCACAAAAGCACCTCCTCTGCTTATTACAGAGCTTGCATTCCAAAGAGTCAAATGGCTTATGTTAGGGTGGTTAATGGCAAGCAAAAAGTTTGCTATGAGTCCCTAGACCACCCATTACACGTTGATGCAGACTGCGTACACGTATAAGAGCAGTTATTTTGCACCTCTGCATACTGGGAAGGTAAGGAAGAAGCAGGAAGAGGTGTGTATGTTAGTGCTGGATGCTTACGATATGAAGCCAAAAGCCAGTGGCAATGCTCACAGGAGAGAGGACAATCCAGCCCAGCGGCTGGATGTGGGAGGGCTCATAGCTCATTACCTGAGCACGCAGTAGAGTTTGCAAGGAGTCATTCCTGCCCCATTATCCATAAAAGTTACAGAAAGGTGACCCTTCAGCTCCACAACATCAATGCAGAAAAGCTCAGCTGTCACGCAGTGATGAGAAGCACTGTCCGCAGAAAGAAGAAATCCAGGCAGGAAGAATAACAGTATTTCACCCTTGTTCCCTCCCAAACCCTCTTTGCCCTCCTATATCCGTTCCCAGGAGCAAAAGCAGTTTCCCAAACCTCCTCCCTTCCAAACGGGAGGTTGTGTCTGGGAGGGGCAGCGGCACGCTGGTTAAGCCTCTGGGCAGGTGTGCCGGAGCCGGTGGCACAAGGCACGGGGGAACACGGCCACCGGGACCACTGCTGCCTTCTGCTGCCCCGGGGCCCGCTGCTGCCGGGTCTCGGGGAGTTGGGGGTGAGCTGTGCAAATCCAGCCAGCAATCACCGCAGCAACTACTAATAAAACCTCCGTGATCTCCACATCCCCTCAGTGCATCATGCACGTTATGGAGAGGCTGCTTAATAAACCCATGTGGATTTATTTTAAAACACACCACAGTTTGCGCTGACACCTCCGGTGCCCCGGCCAGCCTGGGGTCGGGGCTGAAGCCCGAGTGCAGACCACGGACTTTCTGTCAGGGTGCACCGAGCACTGTCCGGGGGCAAGGCCGGTGCCCGGCACTAAAGGGCCTTGCGTAGACCAGCTTATCCGCGGCGACATAGACAGCAGCGGTCAGTCGTCCCGGCTCACACTTACGGCGCGGAGGCAGATACCCTCTCGGTGCCGGCCTGCCTGGCCATAGCCGCACCCCCGCCTGCAACAGGATAGCAGCCTCTGTGCGGCGGCGCCCCACGGCACCACAGCGGCTCCCACGCGTGCGGCCAGGCGGGTGAAAATGTTAACGCCTCTCCCTCCTCCGCCAGGCGTCGCGACATGGCGGCGCCCAGTGCCGTATAAGAAGATGGCGGCATCTGGTGCCGAGACGGCAGCACCGGGGAAACCGCGTGGGGAGGCCACAGATTCTCCCCTCGGAAGG